TCGCCACTCCCCCCCCCCCCCCCCCCCCGCAGTGGGAGGTGGGGAGAGAATCGGGGGGGGACTAAAACTTGTGAGTTGAGATAATAACAGTTTAATCGAACAGAAAGGAAGAAAATAATAATAATAACAATAATAAAATGACAATAATAATAAAAGGATTGGAATATAGAAAACAAGTGATGCACTATGCAGTTGCTCACCACTTGCTGACCAATGCCCAGTTAGTTCCTGAGCAACGGTTCCCCCTCGGCAAACTCCCCTCAGTTTTTATACCACACATGATATCACATGATATGGAATATCTCTTTGGCCAGTTTGAGTCAGCTGTCTTGGCTGTGTCTCTTCCAACTTCTTGTGCCCCTCCAGCCTTCGTGCTGGCTGGGCATGAGAAGCTGAAGAATCCTTGACTTGTTGCCAAGTAGTGTTTACACTAACTGAAAACATCAGTGTGTTATCAACATTCTTCTCATACTGAACCCAAAGCATAACACTATACCAGCAACTAGAAAGAAAATTAACTCTATCCCAGCCAAAACCAGGACAAGGTGTTATCATATTAAAAGTTTGGAAAGAAGCAGAAGAGGCTCTTTTGTTAACTGGTATACCATGCTTTGTCCAAGTAAGAGAATTATTCTAGTTATCTTTCATTGACCATATCCAACAGGATGGACTTTCTGAAAAGAAACAGGAGCCTAGCCTAGTGCCATGTGAACAGTCAGCAATTTAAGATGTTTCTGGCGTAGCAGTGATCTTAATTTGAATTGGACTATCAGCAAGACACAAATGCTCCCTTACTGTTTTTCTGTATAAGTCCCCTATATAAATTATGCTTCTGTAAAACAATGTCAGAAGTAGTGTAAACCCCTGAGTATGTGTATGCAACTAGTAGTGCATCCTACTTCAAAGGAGCCTACATCTGTCTTGAACACTAGGATCTCAACAACTGAATTTCACATGGCACAAATGTGAGAGCTGCTGTTATTTAGTTTGGGACTATGTTTCTGTTTCAGCCTTGGTGACCACAGTACAGGAACACCTACCTGCTTATTCATTAGATGTCCTACTAGGGTGAAAATGTTTAGAACTTGCAGTATAAACTCTAGTGGCTGAGAACTTCAAAACTGGGCTTCTCCTAGCTGATTTTGTTTCTTAGAGTGAGTAAATAAAATATTTTACAGAAAATAAATGCTAATAGTTATGTAAAGAAATAAAACAATTAACAATTAGTATGCAAAAACTTTCGGTAATGCTGTATATTACTTAAAAAAGGACATGTAAGATCTATGACTTGTGTCCCCTCTTGCATCTCTTTCCATGTCTGTACTTTGCTTTTTTTCTTATTTAGGTTTTCTTTTTTTTTCTTTTTTTTTTTTCCCTTCATTAGAACAGGATTTTAATGTTGAACTAACCATTGATTTCAAAGACAGAGGAATTAGACTAGCCTTAAGTAATACTTAAATTTCACCCATCTAGAATTAGGAGATACATCATCTTTGACCTTACTCCAAAACTGGGAGCACAGCCAGTCCCATATTCTTCCTTCATCTCTGAGTTCATCAGTTCAATCTTGGATTGCCTCCAGTTTGGCTGGCGTCCTTTTCACTCAACTGAAAATGCCATCGACAAAGGTCCTGTAACCCTGTCCTGGTCAGACCCAGGTTCATCTGCCACCTCATTGTCCTTCCTCCCTGCTACATCCAGCTCTGGTGCTTGCTTGTTCCTTAATGTTACTCATTTGGCTGTTTTGATTTTTGTCTTAGTCTGGTTCTTATAAAGTCTGTTAGGTCACTCCTTTAGCATGTTTTTTTGCAGAATTGCCAACCTTTTTTCCACTGAAATCCTTCCTTAAATCCCTTCTTTTCTCCTTTTGTGACTGATCCCATGTATTTCTGAGCTTTAACTTACTATTTTTTTTATGTTGACTAAAATCCATGATTCCCCTTTTGCTTAAGTGTGGTCCCACAGACTTTGTTTTTTGGAGATGTTAGGTTACAGTTTATGAAAATAATTCAGTAAGTTTTGTTCACTCTATGATCTATTGCTCATGGGTTGAGAGGAATATAAACAGATTATTTAAAAGTCTTATTCTCTCACTCTGATCTCCTTTTCTGGATGTCCTCCAGTGAATTTAATTTAACATGGCTAATGCTGAACTCTCTGCTGCCTTGAAATGTTTGCATTTGCACACTCTGATTATATTCTCATCTTCTTTATTACTCGTGCCCAGTGGTCACCTCTAGTTCTCCCTGTCTTACAACTGTGTATCCAACTCCTGTGTCTGTTTTCTCACTAACACACGGAGATCTGGGGTTTTTTCTTTCTCCCAAGATATTCCAGGCTTCAGTGTGGGCCTCTGCCTCACCCCACTAAGTAATTGTACACAACTTCTTTTACTTTTCTCATTGGATCCTATTTCTTCCTCTTCCACACTGTCTGACTGCAATTAGGCAGTGCATTAAGAGTAAAGACAAGTTGCACAGCTCTTAGTTTCTTGGGCTAGTATTATAATGGCTCCTGGAACCCCGTGTAAATTAAATTCTTAGTACTTCTATTTCTGGTGTAGGTTATGCTTTATGGGTGTGATGCTTACTCCTTTGTTAGTATATGGCAAACATGAAGGACTAACAAATACCCAATGAAAGCATAAATCTTCAGAGAACTACCAGTTGTCATCGCATTTATGCTGAGGATGATGTTTTCAGAGGCTTATAGTTTGTTCAGATTTTGGGTAGATTTTAATGATGATTGGAAATGGCATGTTTATGAAGTATCTTTGACTTTTTTTGTCAAATTTCAAGTCATAGTCCAAAGGATAAAAACTCTAAAACAGTTTTAAAGAACTTATGACAAAACTTTCATGCTCTATCTTGGCCCATTTTATCAATTATTTCTTTCGAAACAGATTGTGGCAGATTCCCAGAATAAAAGATTAGCCTGAAAAATAAAAGTTGAATAAAGCTTTAAAAGTAACAGAAGTGGACAAGGTTGGGATTTTTAAGATGTTTTTTGAGAAGCAGTGGAAACTTCCTCTGTAGCTCTTCCCACCTACTCCTCTTATAATGTAAGGAGTATCTTAAAGAGTAAGTAAATGTACAATGGCAGATTTGCTGTCTAGAAATATGATGCCCTTTTTCTTAGTTTCCTGTCTCCTGGAGAGGCTGCTAATTGTTGCCTCATGGATGTCATGACTTCTTACTTGCCAGGCTATCTTTACAGCCTTTCATTATTCTGCTGCTATTTTATAAAAGGAAAAAAGTTTTAATTTTTTTTTTTTTAAATGGCCAAGCAAGTAAATGCGCAACTTATGGAAAGATAGATTAGTAAAAGACTGTTCAAAGAATGCTCTCTGAAAAATTGCTTGCCTTTTGAATAACTATTGCCTGCTTGTCTTTTAAATTTTTCCCTTTTTAGCAGTTGTGACTTGTTCAAGAGGGCTTCTAAAATTTCAAATTGAAATAAAATATGCTCTGACTGAATGATATGTAAGAAATTAATGCTTTGTGAAAAAC